CTGTGTGTTTCCCTAGCCCAAACTCCCTCCATTTTTATGGTCTTTTCAAAGTCTAGATCAAGTTTCATTTGAGTTTGCAGGGTGAAGGTTATTATTTCTGGCTTCCCCCCCCCCAGCAAAGACACAATTTTTTTGTCTTTTTAACACAAAGTTGAAATCATCATGAATATTCAAAAAATCTTTGCTGCACCTTCCCAATCTATTCTATAATAATGAAAAAGTATGTAAATACACAACATCACAAAATGTCTTGCAAAACACAAAGCCTATTGGAAAAAATATTCCTTCTTTTAGTCAAGTTCTTCCTAAAGAGTCCCAAAGTACACAATATAAAATACATGCCAATATAAAATATATATCATATCACTAATTGAGTGTACTCATATGTTAAGATTATGTTATTGTGATTAACCATAGTGATCTTATTACCATTTTTCCAATTGAGAGGGGCAGCAACTTTTTTTTTCCTATTCTTACCTTGAAAGAAAATGACAAGACCCCCTGTTTTAAGTGCAAAATGTTTCCATGAAACTCATATGTATCTCCTAACATTTGTTAAACTTGATGAGGGACTGGTTCTTCCCCAGTCAAAGTTAAACCTGGGAAGATTTCTCCCAGGTCATCATCTGAGATTTTGACATCCAAGGTTTTGACAAGGCAGAAGGTGAAAATATCTACCAAGTTCCTAAGGGGGACATTTCTCTGTTCAGAAGCATCAAACCCCCAGTGTACCTACTGAAGTCTCTTTGAAAGTAGTTTCTGAAGGATGAGTTTGAAAGAGGGGCAGAAGCAGCCACTAAGCTTCCATCCCACTGAGGAAATGACACACCAGCAGAGCAGGAAGGAAAGGTGGCACAGAGGCACAACACAAGGGAGAATACCCCAAATCACATTGCTCACAAAAAGGAACTTTTCATATGCTCAACACAAGTGAATCTACACTTGCAATCTGCCAAGGCAGACACAAAGCAGTCATTAAGGTGACTAAACCAAGCATTCAGAGAGTACTAAGTAACAAGAATGACAATACAACCTCCAGTTTGGCCCACTTAATAAGCATTAAATACAGTCTATAATTAACTCCACGTTCATGATCCTCCCTTGGAAATCTCATTTAATTCAATGCAAACATAGATTCTGCTTGGGGAATGATTCAGAATTTGTAGTGAATGAGACTCTTGTTTCTAAGACCTGGCCAGTGTCAAAGAACTACTACAATATAAATATTTAATAATAACAAAAGCATGCAACTCCTTGCCAAGCACAGATGTTAGAAGTAACTGCAAAATCTTGGCATTTGGTGGCATCCAGTAATCCACTGGCTGAGTCACTAAAGTGATTGATAGCCTTAAGTTGTTCAGGAACTACTGACCCCCTGAGAACAAAAATCTGCGAGTTGTAGCATAGTTTTTGTGTAAGTGTTTTTCTCTACACAACCAGCAAATGTCAGAAGTTATCCTTACAGGTTTTGAAAAGGTTCCTGCTGCTTGGGAAAACTCTTTAGCAGGAAGAAACAAATGCAAGTGGCCTGTTTCTATACTTAGTGCATATTTTGCTTTGATATTCTAATTCTGGTAATGATGTTATGGTCATTATAAACATAACTAAAATATAAACTCCTCTTGCAACGGATCTTTTTCACTAAACTGGTCCTAAGGAGACTTCTGTCTTGTTTTGACTAAGGGAACAATTCATTCATAAACTGCATTGCCTATGGAAGTCCTCAGCTTTCTATTCACCCTGTGTATCATTAACCATCTCCACCTGGATACCATCCTGCCCTTTCAAAGCTGTTAGACTTTCTAAAGAAGATCTTTTCTAGGCACAGGCACCAGAAGGGAAGCATCTTCCATCTTAATAGTCTCCTTTCCAACAAGACTGACCAGAGCCTGTAATTTCCATGAAGCCTCCATACAGTATCTTTAAAAGTGGCCATCCGCTTACAGGTGAGATCCCTGCCCATGCCAGCCTCCCTAATTACAGCAAGGCATTTATCAGCTCCCACTGAAAACACTACTCTAGTGCTTCTGACAGAATTCCTTCCAAAGTGAACAAATCTGGTTTCATTAGCATTTCCATGAATTCAGAGAGAACAAAACCATTACATTCCTGTAACCACAGCAGACTGTACTATAACTGAATAACAGACTCAGGATGTCTGCAGGGCAGAGGACATTAAAGTAGCAATGCACGAAAAAACTAAAAATGTAAAGGCAAATGGACACATTACTACTTACTAATGACAAATGTTTTCCTTTAAATGACATTCCAAATGCAAGTCAGAGTACTTAAGGTGTAATGCAGCTCTACCTTTATAGAAAATGTTTATCTTATGGGCCATTAATTTCAATGACATCAACTGGCACAGCCAGCAACAGGTTTTGAGCAAACGAAAGATTAAGAAAAAAAATGCAAAGAAAACTAATTGTTGCCCTAAGTGCTTCAAGTCACACAAGATTCTCACATGCTGTCAATTAAGTGAACCCTATAAAGTTATGATTTATGGCAAGATTACACCAGAATGATTATATCACAACAACAGACACAATTCAATTATTTCTGCCAATAAAGTCATCAGTGCTGAACATATTACCCCTTTCAACTCTAAACATTTTTTTTTAACCAGAAAGTGCTTCTATGATGGTACCATCTTGACTCATTCACAGCAAGTATTTTAAATCATTAAATCCCACTGAACTCAGTCTGTACTTAGACATTTGGCATCACAAAATTTCTGACTACAAAAGGCGAATATGTAGAATGGTAGCAAAGTCCTCTAGACTATCAGCCATATTTCTTCCAAAATTTATTTCCTATGTTTTATGGTATTTTCAGCCATTTTCTGTCTTCCATGCTATTAAGAAGAAAAAACAAAAAACCCAGAATACTTCAGGCCCAAAGTGAAGTCTGCAGGTCATCAGCTCTAGTCTCAAAGCAGGATCAGCTTTAATTTTACAGAAGAAACAAATAAACCACAACAAAAAGAAGAGGAAAAAAAACAAAACATAAACACCTAACAAACCTGCAGTTAAAAAATAGAAGTTATTTCACCTACATATTGCTTTCTTTTTCCTTAAGTTAACTTGTAGTATTTATCTAATCATGCTGATTCTGTTACAAGTGTTTTCTAGAAGCTAAATTTAGGACTTTGAAAAATAAACATGCATATTTAGAGTACTATAGAAACATATATTTTTAAGTAGTCAACAAAATCCTTTTTTAATCAAACTAATGGAGAGGTTTTTATAATGGGTAGGTTTTAAGAAAATAGATCAGTGTTCTGGAAGCCTTCTAGCAGGTCAAAGCTTCACTTGGCCTCATGCTGAAGAATATGAAAAAGCAGACTGTGCCTCGGAGAGCTGTAATCAAACAGGTAAGTCAGCAAAGAAGGGGGAAAAGGATGGAACAGAGGCCTGAGGGGAAGAAAGACTCAAGGGGATTTGCTAAAAGCAAAACGAAAAGAACAGAGCAAGCAGAAGGAGGAGAAAGAGGTCGACTGAAGTAGTGGTTTGGATGCAGCACAGACTGGGACGACAACTGTGTGTGGACAGTCAGCGGGCATGTTCAATAAATTGGACATTACAAAATACACAAAAATAGCCTGGAAAAAAACAGTCTAGTTAAAAACTTAAAAAAACATTTTCCCTCTCCAACATCCAGACATTCACTCAAAGGTTACTTTACCAACTTCACAATTTTGGATTCATCTCTTTGCTTTGACTTCTACATGTATAAATTTAAAGTAATGTAGCATGTGAATCTCATCCCACACTGTTTTATGGATACACATACTATTGTCTCTAAATCACTAGGATGTCCCAACACAGAAAATTTAACAAAGAAAATGGGTAACTGTGCCACCAGTATGGGTTCCAGACAGCATGCAACAAAAACTGCGTGGAACACTACTTTGAATGAGACCAGAAAGAAACCTTGAGCTATTCACACAGTCATCGCTATCCTTCCTGACCACTGAGCGAGACACAGAGCCTTTGAAGGAAAATAAATAAACAAATAATCAAAATTCTTTCTTTCCCATATGCATTCTGCAATCTTTTTGCCATATGTTACTATAAGTGAGTTTATGTACCCAGCTGCTTTTGCAAAAGAAACTCCTACATAGAGACTTTCTCATCTCCTGCAAGCAGCAGTTCCCAACACACTTAGGAGCTTTTATTCCATTATGGAAGCTCACAGGCTGCTCATCATCACTAAACTGATTTTTTTCACCCTATAGGTACCATGATATTTTCAAAACATTAAGAATGGGGTTTATATTGATATGACATGTTGTGCAGGGGATGCATTCTCAAGTAATTCAAAGCCACGAGACTGGGCCCTTTTAAGTAGAAGGCTTTTCTACTCTTAGTAGTGTTTTTGCTCCCAACACCAAAAAATTCCATCAGGTTGCTGACCCCAGAAACAGGGTCGCTACTGACCCCTAGTGTTCGGCAACCCAGGCTCAATTCGACTGATTTAAGGCAAAAAGCATGAGAAGCATCTTCATCCTTCAGCCCTGCAGCGTCCTTCTGACATAGCAAGAGGTCCCTGCCTTGTGCTGAGGTTCTTTCCGCTCTATTTTATCAACAAAAATAGAAGTATCCATTTTTAAAGGAACAAGGAGAAAGGAAATATAAACTCCTAAGCATCCCAGCAAATTGTAGATTCACATTTCTACTACTTTCACATCTGTAATTAATTTTTAATTTGGAAGATTAAGAGAAGGATATCAAGAATAGACTTACAGTCATGGCTTCAAATGGGTATTTATAGACTCTTGATCAGTTATTAAGGAATTAATGACAGTGAACTACAATCCAAGCTGGTCTGCAAAGCCTAGTGCACGGAAAGGAGTTGCAATTGCCAGGTTGCTGCAGGACTTGGCTGTCCCAGGAAGAAGTGTGGAGTCTAGTGAGCCAGCTGCCCAAGTGATATAAAAGTTGCTTACAACAGAAAGCTGTAACTACAGAAGTGAAGAAGAATCCTACTGTTCTACTTACAATTTTGAGTCCAGGTTCAGGAGAAAGCCCAGTTTGTCATATTCTGGAAAAGAAAAGCAAAGGACACAATATCATAAAAGCTGCAAGAGTCTCCTCTGCAAAAGGCAGCAAAACCAAACAACAGTAAGTCCTTATAGCAGCTGTTAATACAGATTATTGTTACTCCAAGGTATTCCTAAATTAACATTTCTCAATTTCCAGGAAATACCACAGCAAGAGAACACATGGATATCCATTAATTTAGAAACCACTAAAATTAAGCAAACTATCCAGAGCGATAAAAAGTATTACTGAAACCACTTATGCAGTGATAAACAAAGCTTTCCTGCTTGCTGTACAAATAATTTTGACACTAAACTGTATGAAAAACATTCCTCCTAAGTTCTGATGTGCAGAGCTTCGAAATTTTTCTTCATTCCTTGTCTATTCCAACCCAAAACGCTTCAAATGCAGGTGTTGTTCAGTAAGAAACTGCAAAGTCAGTTTATGTCATGAACAGGGGATAGCTACAGAAACAAAACTATCATTTAGAACATCTAACTCATGTACAAAATAAGCTTTTCATTCAGCATCTCTGAATATATTGTGATCTTGTAAATCTGGATACAAAAAAAATCCTATTAAAATTCACATGAGACGCACATGGAAAAGGTGCACTGTTCTTGAGCTGGGTTAAGCTCAGGGGCCTCCTCACACTGAGGACCCCTGGGTCTCACAGCTATACAATAAAAAAAAATACAGAGAAGTAAAAGATAGCCCAATCACAGATTAAAAGAAACAACAACAAGAAAAAAAAATCTTACTAGCTTTTAGAAAGACCTCATTGGAAATACAAGATTACTTTTCTCATGAGACACCCCTAGAATTTCTAGTGCAGTAGTTTACCTCTGAAGATCACAAGCTTTTCACTCTCATTTACTGGCAGAACAGCCAAGCCTAAACATGTACCTCAGACACAATGACTGCACCAGATCGGTCAATGTAAACTGTGCCATTGGTTTCAATCCCATTAAGACTTAATTCCTGAGCCAAGGGAAGTATTCTATTTGACATCACTTAGGTAACAGAAGCTGCAGAACACGTGCGTGCTTGATACTGGCACATACTGTCTGTTCCCTGCCAGCACTCGAGTGCCACCCACCATCCTCACTCCACCTGTGCATCTCTCCTCCACTCTCCACATACTGACAGCTCTGTTTCCCTCATGTGCTGCTTTCCTCATAATTTCTTCCCACAAGAAATTATATCCTGTACAACATCACCTCCACCGCCAGTAGGATTGTGTATAGGAAGGTATCCATTCCATAAGAAGAAATATGCCTTCAATTTTTATTAACCCTTCTGACTCCCAAAACGAACATCTGTACTAAGCAAACAGCCAGAAAGATTTTTTTTTAATAACACTTTTTACAAAACCACCTGTAGCCACTGACCCATTTGTCTTCAGTCTTATCTCGTTCAAACCAACATTCCCTTCTTCCCAACAGGAAATACAAAAATAGGAAATGCAATAAGAGATATATCACCTCATAACTACAACAGCATCCTGGACTTTATATAAACTCAGCACTTCATCAGCTTTGCAACTAAAGCACCAGAACACAGACATGAGCTAAACACTAAGGACAGACTTCCACTGCAACGTTTCACAAGATTTCTCATTTGTTTGTCATAATGTTTCACCTTCCCCAGGCTTTAAGTTTTGAAGATCACTGATTATTACTGACAGAGATACAAAGTAATTTCTTAAAACTACATGTCAACTACCTTGCAACAGGCACTTTCCAAAAAAAAAAAATATTAGAAAACAAAAAAACATTTCTGGTTTCAAGCCAGATGCAGGGTATGTTCTTGATTTTCACTAGGGTGTAAGTACGTTTCAGGCTGTAACATCAAACCAGAAGCATCCACGCCCCTTCCTCTTGTTGGTAGGTGAGATGTACAAGCTTCTGCAGGCAGAGAAATGCTGCTCTCACCATGGGCCATCTCACACTCATGGGCACTTTTGGAAGTCAGCATTACTATTAGCTTGGAAATGAATCTCTATCACATACTGTTCCCCCAGGAAAGACACTAGGACTCTCCAAAATTACAGATTCAAAGTTATCCTCCTTTTTAGCAAAAATTGCAGTCTGGCTACAGACTTCTAGTGTCATTTAGCTGTATCACTGCAAATACAGGGGCCAAAAGTCAGCCCACATGCTGGCTGGAAGCGCCCTGGACTCACAAAAGACAGATAAAGTCCAAATATCGGAAGAAAGCCAAACAGACAGAGCCTAGAAAAAGGCAATCCCTGTCTGGAGTTATGTATTTAAATTAAAACAAGATGAAACACAGATCCACTAAATCAAAGTACAACTGAATCTATAACACAGTTTGGTCAGGGTATGATAATTCCAGGAGAGGAACTGACCTGATCACACAGCTCATAGCTCAAGAAAGGGGCAATCCCATTCCTACATTTTCCTCCATTGAAAATAGAGGTGGCAATAGCCTGTCTTGGCATTCATGCCACCTCTCTGTGCCCTTACACATTACTTCCTCCTCTCATAACCTTAGTTAAAAGCCCTGCTCACCAAGTTAACCACTTGATATACAGAAATATTTCTCCTCGTTTTCATGTAGTGGGATAAAGAAGTGCTGGAATATTAGAGAAAATAGAATAAAACAGTTATAGAGAACAAGATAAAAAGACTCCAGCTTCTCCACCAAAAACCATCTTGGACCAGCTGGCCACGTTAAGTGTGGTTTGATGTTGGCCTCCACCAACATCATCATGATGACCCTCCCCCAGCACCCCAATCATTAGGGGTGTCTCTGCACTGAAGGACAATGCAGAGCCACTCACAAGTACAGTCTGGAGAACTCCCTTCACATTTAAGCATGTTGGTAAGTCTGATCCAGCCCAGGCCATGTCTGACCCACCAACTTCCAGACCACCTCTATGGCTCTGTGGCACAGGATCTGCTTTTAAAGCAAAAAATGCATAAAGGTAATAAAGAGCTTAGTTTGCATCCCCTGGAAGAACATCATGGCATAATCTGAACAAGACTTTATATTTCAGCCCACAGAAGACTGAAAGGCCCATGAAAGATAAAAGTAACATTATTAGAAGAGCACAAGTCATCCTAAAGATCACAATAACCTGTGCTAAGGACCTACAGATCTCAGCTGACAATGTGGCACAGCAGTGCACAGAAGTGAATAAACATGGGAAATGAAGTTTCATCGTGCACCATAAGAACAAGAGGTCATCTTAGGTCAAAACCAAAAGGCATTTCTACATTTCCAGGAAGATCAGAACTGAATAAGAATCTAAGAACTAACAAGTATTTCATAATAAGGCATGTAATTGGGATTACATGAAAAGAAACAGAGCCAAGAATACCAATTCCTATAAATTATGCAAATCCCGTGCCAAATTCAATGTTGGCATTAGCATGGAAATTCCTCCAAAGAATCCAACAGAAATCCAGGTACCAGGCTACAAGTGAGAGATGCATTGTATCATGTCTGAAAAACTCCATGCAGCCCACCCAGGAAGCCATAAAGCCCAGTGTACAGTATCTAGCAAGTATTCAAGTTGCCTTTTGCATCTGCAGCCAATATAGCTATATAGAAGCAAAATGGGCAAAATTTTCCCCTTATGCTACTAATCTGAAATCAACAGTCCAGGAATTAACTTGCCATAGTTGTTTTATCCTTTCAAACTACCTGTAACCAATTTCACTGATACTAACCCTTGAGTGCTAACCCTTTTAGCAGCCAGCTACTTAGATGCACAATACAAAGAACATTGCCTACAGAAACAGAAAATTAACCATTTTTTTTAAAGATGGGCAATATGCGGTTCTAGCTCTATGTTTAACTGGTAATTGCAAGTACAGGAGGGAAGGCACAAGATTCAATTTCACTATTTTATTTAAAATGTTTGTGTTTGTCGAAGAAATCAGTATAATTCTCAAGAAACAGAAGTCCTATCAAGGATGCTCAGACCACCCTGATACATTTCATCCTGTCCAGTGCAGTTCGGTCTCTGCAGAATTGAGGATCCAATTGAGCCAAGCCCTGGTCACTATTCACATGCAAGTTCTACATCTGCAGCAAAGGCCACAAGTAAGATAACTTATTCTGCAATGAAGAAGGCCAAACACATCACAGTCACCTTGGACTAAGAAAACACATATGGACAGTTATAAAAGTTCAACAATGTAAATAGTTCTGCTAGAACTCAAGAGACAAGAAAGAATTAATGAAAAAAAAGTCATGTTAAATGGATCAGCTGAAAAGGACAAAAGAAAGCTTTTATTCCGAAGTTAAAAAAATAGCAGTCAGGCCTACTGAGCAACAATCAAAGTAATGGATAAACAAAGATTTAATGTTGCATCCTTTCCTTAGGACTTTCACCTTAACCTCTTCAGTGATGGAATTTACAGATGAAAACATTATCTTCTCTTTAAATAACCAGGGAATAAAAAAGACTGTGAAGGCAAGTTCACGAGTGGTAAAGCTGAGGCCACCCAAGCTTCTCAGCACAGCCCTGCATGGACTGCATGCAGATCTGCGTTTCAGTTTCCTCCTCACCCCCACTCACACTTTTGCATATGCATTTACCAGCCTTTTTCTCCAGGTTGCCAAGTGACATCAAGGAAAACACCAAGTAAACTGGTAAGACAAAGCCCAGTCCCTGGTGCCTTTCCCTGCTCTGTAGCAATCACAGAAGGAGCAGAAGTGACACCTGTAAAGCTAAGTGCTCAGCCCTTGCAGCCCAGCACCAGAAGCTTACATCACCAATCTACACCTACACATCCTAATAAAACTATAGCAACCTCCAATGGTAGAAAAGCAACAACTAACTGCTTTAAGCCAAGTTTAGGAAAGACTCCAATAAGAAGATGAAAAATTTCCTCCTTTGATCTGCATGTGCCCCTTCACTTTTTCAGGAAGTCATCTGTTTCACGTCTTTGCTAAACAGTTGTTCCATTTACTGCCATGAGTCCACTTGGCAAATGGAGTTAATGCTGCCCTACTGAGTCTCCCAGCATACTCTTTATTCTATACATTTTATCGTATTTCCTAATAAAAGTCAAGAACAATATTAACAAAGCAGTAATCTATACTGGCTTTTAATGACTTACAAGATGTGCTGATTTGATGCAGAGATGCCACATGAGAGAGAAAAATCCCATTGAAATACTTTTAATTTGAATCATTCATTAAGCTACTTCTTGACATTTGCACCTCAAATCATTCACAGCTGTATTTTCAACTAGAGGAATAGAGCATTAATAAGAAGACAGATTATGATACTGAACATGCTGGCAAAGTCACATAAGGACTATGAAACTGCTCCATGACAGTCACTGGCAAAGATTCAAGCAGCTCCCACAGTCTACACTCAGGAAAATAAAGAATGAAGTAGAACTTCATTAATCAAAAATGAAAAGGAAAGAGCATTTCTGCAGGAAAAAAAAAAAACAACAAAAAAAAAAAAAAAAACAAAACCACTTAAACCAGCAGAGAAAATACATGTATTTTCCCTTTTTTTCTTTCAACCTTACAGGAATGAAGAAATATACAGCTTAGTAAGTTCATATATCCTTTCACATCATTATCACATAGTGCTGAAACAGAAATGCAATTTGGTGGAAAAACCCCAACACACTAGAACCACATCAGCTCCAAACATTAATTAAAGTTGCTTTCCTCAAACCAAGAACACCTAAAGTTAATTACAACTCACCTGAAAACCCAGGAAATATCAGAGTTTGCAACTGTAGACATTTGTACTATCAGAGTATCATTGAGAAATCAAATAAACAGCAAGGAAGTTTCTGCAAGTCAATGTTTCTGTCTTATGCTACAAATCTATCACTACTCTACTACTACTCAGTTGCATTTCTATTCCTGGCCTCCATCCATACCACTCTCCATCCAAAACGTATGCAAGTAGTCACCAAATTCACTCTGGAGGACAGACACAGGGTTATTCTTATCCTTCACAAAATGGTTATCTGAGCATCTCCAGCAGCTGAATGAAACAGAGAAGGTTTCCTTCATAGTTCTCACAGCTTTTCCCAAAATGGTTATGGACTTTAACTTAAGGAATCCCTAACAGCAAACTCCAAAATAAGCACAGATTTAAATTCTCAAATGATTACTCCACTGTAAGTGTGAACTCAGCATTTGGAAGCACGCTTTTGCATGTGGGCTTTTGCAAGCACATGAGCTGCAGCAGATAGCTACTGTAAACCAAAGTTTGGAAATCCAGAAAAGTTAATACATGCAAACAATTTGAGCAAGACCTAGATAACACTTGGTTGCTTGTAATGTTGGAACTAGAACCTTTTAAGCCTGCAAATGAGAATATCTGCTATGAATCAGTGGTCAGTGCTGCAATCAAACATGTCTAACAAGAGCATAAGCCTACAGTCCAAAGGCATTCAGTATTTTCAGCAAGCACAGTAGCATCTGGGAAACTTGCACATCCAGTGCACTCCTATCCAAGGCTTAGAGAAGAAAAATTTAGCTTGCTGTCAGACACAGGAGGTAGGAAAAAGTCTTGAACAAAAATAGCAGGGGTATAAATCTAACTTTCAAGGTCCAATGTTTGATTTGGTAGCAACAAAGTAAAACAAAGCAACTAGAGAGGAAAGACAAAACTAAAAGGAGCACTAGCTGCCTATGGCAAGTGAATGAAACCTGGGTCTCCTCAAACACCCTGTAACTTGATTGTTTCCCCAACTTCAGAGCATGACACCCCTTCCTTCTGAAATGCTTTCAGCTGAAACACTGGCCAAGACATAACATCAAACACTTATCTCAGCTGCTCAAGCTTTATCTTTTAAGGGAACAGACAGCCACGAAGAGAATTACAAAAACATCTGGACTTGTGAAGGCTGGACCTCAGCATGAACCTCATGGTTCAGCCTCACTTAAAACACATTTGGCTCGCATGCCCTCTACCAAGAATCTCCTATGAAGCTCCATAGCTTTAAAGCACCATAGCCAGATGAGCTTCTGAACACTCAGTTCAGAAAGATTATCCAAAAAAACCTAGACAGTGTCATTAATCTGAGTTGAATAAGGACAGATTTCCAGCATTTCTGAAAACTGGGACTTGCATGTGGGACAAAGTTAAGGGGAAAGCCAAGATAAGGACAGTCAATTCAAGTATGATACAGAAGCTGCAACAAGACATTGCCCTTCACATGGCAGTAAAAAGCACTTCTAAGCCATTTAGTATGCAAATATAAGTACCAATTTTAAGCAGCATGAAATCTTAACAGGGAGACTATTATTCTCAGCTGGTTTTGACTAATAAAGAGAAAGGTATATGTAATTTTATGTTTCAAAGCATATAACTTGAGCTGAAACATCACCTACTGGGAATGGCTGGGCCTGGAGCTGCCATGGTTTCTGTGGGTTCTTTCTGGGCTCTGTCTTTTCCTGGGTCTGCAGCAAGGTGAGATGGGATGGACAGCGGAAGCACAATAGCCACAGTTTTTCTTTCTCTCCTTCCTGTTCAACAAGGAAAGCTATCCCTCAGTTGGACAGATATCACACATCTTGACATCTTATTACACATACCAGTTCAGAGCAAGGTGAAGTTTGCAGCACAGTAAGTGCAAAGTACTAAACACAAGAACAATAAATGTACAGCTTTCTTGGACATTTCTGAGCCTCCCTTCTCAAATATATGATTTTCTTTATGTTTCTTTAATGAAGTCAGTCTTGTTGCAGTGAAAGGGTTTACAAAAGATCAAGTCTTACTGTCTCAATTCCTAACCAATCCAAGCTTGAGTTGTAAAATGCAAGCAGAATAAAGACCAGTTCTTTTAAAACAGACCAAGGCAGCCCAATGGCTCACATGAGTCTGTCTCCCACCCTCCATATTAACAGAACTCCAAAAGACACAGAGCAGTTGAACCAGTTGAACTGTTTTTCATCACTAAGTTTACTCTCCTATTGGTGGAAACATTTATGGTTAACTCCATAGACACAAAATCTGTGGTTAAAATTCAAGCAAGGGTTTCTCAAACCTATGCAACTTCCTCCCTACTTCTGCAGACTGAAGAGACAACCACCCAGCACAGGAGACAGACAACACACTTCAGTTATGACACATTAATTAGTAAGAGAGAATTAATAGAGGGCTTCTTCCCCCCATACACATGAAAACATATCCATTTGGCACGCTAGAGATACTCTCACATCAGATCATGCACTAAGAATAGATCTGTTTCCAGATATAAGTTTTAGAGGAGATACAGGGAGAGTAGAAAAATTTTGAAGTGTTTTAAACAAAGTTACTACCACTAGTTCAGGGGTTAGTAAATCAGATGTGTGTTCAAGTGTCGATGTTAGTGTCAGGCAGCAGGCTCTCTTTCAAAGTGTGCAGGCAGAAGACAGGTGCTATGTTGGAAGGCAGCATGTTCCCCCTATCAAGCTAAGAGGAAAGGCTGGCAAGCATGATAAAACAAAAAAAAAAAAATCCAAGCAAGGGTTTTGCATTTTGTGGAAGACAATAAATACCCCCATCTTTAAGTGTTAAGGTGTTTAAAGTTATAAGAGCAATTCTTAGCCTTCCCCTTGCACTTCATATATCATTATATACATATTGTAAACTGAATTTCATTAAGTATCATGCTTACTATGGTTTGCCTTGGCTGTAGCTTGCACATTACACACAGCCAAATGGAGAGTTACTGATCCCGTGAAGTGCCCCCAGCACAAAAGAATTTTTGATTTCTGGTCCAATTTAATTGTAGGTCATGCTTAGGTTCCAAACGCAATGAGATTGGGAAGGATTTGCCCTGGGTTCAATAATGTTGGTCAATCTCCACCCAGAAAAAAAGTTTCCAGCCCTATTGGTTTATTGGTTTTAGGACACTTTCATCTTCTCTTTCCTGGAAGCATTCCTAATGTCTTTCCCCAAATAACTCAACTGTTTGTTTAGCTGGGAAACTATCCTAGTAGCATGAAATAGTTTTTCTTCAGCTGGTAGGTGACATCATCTTAATGCCTTTCCACATGAGAAAAGGAGCACAAACTGCATCATCAACATGTGTGCACGTCGTTTCCTCGCTGGGTAAGGGAAGAGTCACGCAGGTTAATCCTTGTGTCGTCCTAAGGCTCTTAAAACTCCCTCTGCGCTTGGGAAAGGAGCTATTTACCCTTTGGCTAGATGGCTGATTCCCACAGAAGTCTGACTCAGTGCCTCCCAACATGGCTACCATGTCCAATTAATAGAAGCCTTGTCATGAGGTGGGAGATAGAGAAGAAGGCAATGTTGTACCTGAGCCTATTGTATGTCCAACGGAGTCAAAGGAAAGAACCACTGAATCTGTAACACAAGAGTACAAGTTCATTTTCCCCTTTCTTTCAGCAGCATTTCTTGCTGTAACATTCTTTGTTATTTTGCTTAAGCAATTCCTTGTGCTCCCTTCTGCCAGGAAGCAAAACAACTTCTTCACCAACCAGACAAAACAACAGGCACCTAGCAGAGGTAGAACAATGGAATATGCAATAAATCACAGTTCTGTTAACCAATGAAGTAGCCACAAGTCATTGAAAAGAATTTCATTTTATGTCTAATAAGCTTGGTCAACTGAATTATAACATGCTTTGACTGCTGGCCTAGAGAGTTTTTTTCTCATCAGACGTATTCCTAATATTTTGTCCCCACTTAGGAGACTCACCTGTTAAAATCAGTTCTTCCCTGACACAGTTTGTTAAGCCAAGCACCTTGTGTTCCTTATACTCCATGCTCACCATGTTTCCCACATCTTTACTCACAGTAGTGGCTTCCAACTCAGTGCATTTCAATTCATCAATATCTTTTCACCTTTGCATTATATGCAGCACATGTGCCAAGCATCAAGAAAATATAACCTCTCTACTTGAAACCCTTTTATTTTTCTTTCTGGGAATCACAACAATGCTTTTATCCATGACTGAAGTGGCAACTCTTGCTCACTAGTAAATGCCTGACACTTTTAGTCACTGCTTCATATAATGGGGCACCCTTTGCCTGAAATGTGGTTTAAAGATCCTAGTTTTTATATAAGCAACTTGACATTAGGCCACATAGAAACCCTTAGTGCCTGCTTGCACTCAGCTCACCCCATGATCCAGACCCTTTATTAGTCATTCATTTTCCTCATATAGGACTCTTCCAGCCTAGAATCTATTTGCAAAATTATCAGTTATAATTTGATATTCTGTTCCAAGTGGAGTTGCATTATGTGATCATGCTCAATAATGGAGCTTTCTACCAGCTTTATGCTTATTTGAGACAAACCAAGACTTATTTTGGCAGTAAGCCTCCTGGTTTGCCATCTATTTTCATGGAAGTCGCAACTGAAGGAGAAAGACTACCAAATTCTATTCCCCTACCAGTGGAGCAAAATTGGGCCCAGGACTTAGACATAAATTGCCAATAGGCAAAACACAAAAAAGAACAAACCACCACAATAGGATTAATAATTTTATGACCTGAGAAGCTTTAAACTGACACAGCAATAGCTGAACTTGCCTTTCATCTTTATGTAAATGAATAAACTGAATCCTTTGACATTTCTTTTTGTCACTCAGGTTTCAGATGTGATCAACTCATCACACATCCTTTGCAGCACCACAAAGGCTGCCAAGGTGCAGTGCCTCAGTGCAAGGCAAAAAGCTCAAGCAAAACAAGACCAAGCCTGCTGAAGAGTTTAACCTCCTGTTGCATCACTTGAAATTTAGGCAGGCTACAATCACAGGCAGTTACCATGTTAGAGCTGAAAATATCTTGACACAGAACTGAGCCCTTGGCTTCTCTATATTTTACATTATCCTGATGCTTATTTTCCAACTCTTAAAAACGTAAGAAGAAACTGCTAATTTTCAAAATAAACACTGTTGTTTTAATAAAGGACTGTTAATTTGAATGGCTTTAAAAGAATTTAGAAAAAGAAGGTCTGTCTTGGATCTAGCACTATGGTAGTAACATTAAAAAACTTAAAAAGAAGACATTACTAGTCTCAAAACTTACTCCAACAAAAATAAAAATCCATCTGGACTTAACAACTGTATTTCCTCTTTTGGGAATAAAATGCAGACATCATTATATTATTCTAAATAGCAAGGAGTTTAATTCATTTTAACTGCATTAACTTCATTTGCCATCAATTTTAAAGTATCTCTGTGGGGTCCTACTTTTAAAAAACTGTTGATATTTTTATCAACATAATGTACTGCTTCGTAGTTAATGTCAAATTTAAAAGCTGTTAATTTTTCTGAAATATATTTTGCATTCAAACACTGCACATGAAATATTAGGACTTATCTAAGAATGGCTGAAAAGCACTGCAAGTACCAAATTAACATTATCGCAACCCACAAGAAGAGTATAATGTTTCATTCCCTTAACTGAGAACATTATCTTCCTCACATAAAAAAAACAATTTACAAGCAGATTAAGAGCTCCCTTTTCCAAACCAGTCCTTCATGCTACTATTAGTTTCAACTAATCAAATTCACTGTGAATAACCTGTATTAGAGTCAACTCCTCCTCAACCTCCAGAAGTAATACCATAAACATGGATCTTTATTAAAACACTGTGTTTATTTCTGATATTAGCACTCCAAAAGTGAAAAAAACTACAAACCTGAAGAATGCTGAGATGTCACCTTTCTTCTACCCCAAAAGCTACCCACATCCAAATTCAGAGCTACAGATTATTTCTGTCAGAAGTTGGAGATAAACATTTCTTTGAAGCAAGCCAGATTTACTTGCAAATACACTGAGTTCTGCTTCCACAAACATAAGGAGAAAAGTTTCTTTGCTTCTATTTTCAAATCTCTTCCAGTCATCGCTCAGTTCAAAATCCTCCTGACTTTTTAGGGGGTCTTTTTTGCTGAGACAAAGTGGCAGCTCTGTCTGCACCCAGTGCCTTCCCCCAAGTCCCAGAATGTGCTCTACCTTTCAAAGGCAATCTTCAACAGCTTTATCTTTCAAAACTCATTAAGACACAATGTAAAACATACCCACTTACATACACCCTTGCTTAGGTGTCAGGAACTGTTCGTGCCTGAAGGAGCAGTCCCCAACCTTTCAGATCCCTATTTCAATAAATAAGCTTAAATTTTTGTTCTCCTGCCTTAACTGAAGGGCAGCCTTTATGCCTAAATCATGAAATCTGACACACAGTAACTTGCCAATATGTACAGCACACACCACAGTGCCAGTCTTTTACATCTGTTTTTATGTTAACTACAATCTTTTTTTTTCAGCAGCTTAAAAAAGGAAAGGGAAAAAAAAAACCCAAAACAACAAGATATAGCAAAATCCAAATGTAATTTTGGATCTTATCCAACCCATCAGAAGAAGCAAAGCCAGCACAAGCACTCACTCAATTTAGAAGGCACTCAGTGCCAGGAATAATGATGGCTGAGACCTCACCAGCCAGATTGCAAAGTTGCTTTGGGTCACTTTTTGTCAACTTTGGGTTCAAGCTGCATTGGCACCTATGCTCTGGGTCACTTTCCCCTCACTCCCACCATCCAGTTAGAGCATCACAAATTGGACCAAATATACAAATCTGCTTCCTCATCCCCCACAAAACAGTCTTGTGCAGGGCTACCTGAATGCACTCCATCACAGCCCCTTTGGAGTGTGGAGTTTTGTATGAGACCCTGCTCCACTGCTGTGAAACCAACACAAGGATCCCATTCCATTCAGGAAAAAGGAGCTCGAAGACAGACTCTGCAAAGACCCTCAGTGCTGCTCTGGGAACAAATTTAAACTCATTCCCAACAATGCTCCATACAGGACCCAGAGCCAAATATAGCTTTGAAGGAACACAACTGGACTTGCACAGATCTGTTCTGTAGTAAAAGAAAATACAAAACCAAAAACCAAACCCCCAAAAACTCACCTGCAGGCAAATCTGTGATGACTACATTTATTGCAGCACTTACACCACACTCCAGCTAAGACATCCAGGTGTGTGGACTGATTGTATTTCAAGGCAAAGGATGCACTTCAAGCGTTGCTAACCCCTTACCTTTCTCAGGGCCTGAGTAACTGCACCACACTCCCCTGTCCCCAAGACAGGCAAATTAAATCATCCTTCTTGCTGCATATATTGTGCACCTTAGCCCAAGGCATTTCTGGACAGCAGACTAGCATTCATCTGCTACTTGTAACACACTTCTGTATCTTTTCCAGTACTCTAGTTTCTGAACAGAAAAATAAATGAAGACTTGGGTCTTCATGATCCTCACCATCAAACTGCAGAATTGTAGGAGAAACAAAGCCACGCTGAAAAACATCTGAAGTTTCATACTCCCTGCACATCAATAGATAAACACTTAATGTGGGTAGTGCACTGAAGAGATGTATGGAAACAGCTTTTAAAAGCCCAGTTGTGTCAAGTTGTTAAAATCATGTAGGAGCAAATACATGGATTCATTTCCAATACAAATACTATCCTTACTTTGATTTCATTATTGAAGAAAACGCAATATGCGAACCAAAAAACAAGCAGTGACAACACATAATGAGAACCGCAAATATAATCCACATTCAAACAAGAACTGTATATAAACTGTATGTTTACCTAAGTGCTGTTTCAAAATTTCAGTTAAGATTTTTATAGTAAGTCCCTCTATTAACTTCTTATTGCTTTTTTACAGATTCTCCCCGCAAGGATTTGCAGATATTTGCCTCAACCTATTGGAAACCAAAGAAGCTGAACCAATAACTTATCTATTTTTTGGGAGAGGATTGTTTGGGGTTTAAAAATAAATAAATAAAGGCAAGCAAAACCAGACTTCAGCAATAAAGTAACTTCCCCAAGAAAAACAACATGATTGCATGCTGCTTTGGAAGTGGTCCTGAGAAACCACAAACTGTCAGTCCCACTGGAGTTATAAGAGTTTAATAATAAAGGCCTAACACAGCCTCAATACCACATACCATTACAGCAACACACACCACAGGCCAAGCCAAACAGGGAATACAAGAACACATCACTACTTAAGGCTGTGGTTTGGCACATTCTTATTCAGATGCTCAAGCTCTGAGGTCTGTATTGCTTTCTTATATGCATAATCAATGTCTCTCATTCCATACACCCCTGTTCTCCAGATACTCTGATGGATTCCTACAGAACTACAACCTGTATTTAATAACATCTAATGTAATTTATACCTCCAGAGTTTGATCAGAGACCAGGTATCCTGCAGAGCTCCATCAGCTGGCCAGAGGATGGCAACTGCAGTAATATTACCCAACAAAATTTTGATTCAGAGTCAGAATGAAAACAAAAAAATTAGGTGCTTCATTTTTATCACAGAATT